ACATTACCAATTCTGAGGGTATTAACTGTCCGGAGGCATCGCAGCACTATACCATTAAAAAGCGAGCAATAATAAATTGATAAACAACCAACAAATTGACTTCGTTGATTTTATTGCTCACTTTTTATTTATTTTGTTGTGCTCATTTTTAGTTTTTCATTGCTACTTCTAGAGTTTTAATTGGAAACTCATCAACTTTTCATGGATCAATCAAGGTTTTTTATTGCACAAAAATATATTTTCTAATTTTTTTTATTATGCGTTGCAACTTTTCATTTAACTGTTGCTTATTTTCGCAGTTTTACCGTTGAAACATTTATTTTCTATTGCTACTTTCCACTTATAAATTGTCACAAGGTTTTCTGGTAGTTATGAACATTTTAAGTGCAAGGTGTGCATTCTTTAGGTGTCGTTTATATTTATGCCTTGCTTATTCCAAGTCCCAGTTCTTCAAATATTGTCTACGCCCTTGATCATAAAATTTATCTGAGTAAATTTAGGAAAGTATGCTAGCTTGTGATCTTAAAATCAGAATTTATCAGGATTAAGATATATTTGATAAACTGTAAAATCTTCACATTGGCAATACATTTCATGTATTCAATATCCATTCTCAGATCCTGAAAATTTCACAAAGTTACATTTCAAAGAAAAACTAATTTCAATCTTTCACTTTTCAAAATTCGCCCTTGACGCCAAACTCGGCCTACGGATTCTAAACTCGGCCTGAAACGCCATTGAAACGCCATTGAATTCACTTCGGCCTATCGGATAAAGATGAAAATTGATTCGGTCGGAGCGCTTCTTTTGTTTTCGGGAATAATGGGTGCAAACCTTCATATCACGCTTTTTCATTGACTTCGTTCGGTAGCTTTTGAACTAAAGTATCGTACCAAACGCATAATTGACTTGTTAGCTCTGAAATCATGGATTTATTTGAAGTTTTCTGCTCGATAGGCCCAAAATGGGCGATTTGGCCGAAGTAGTGCTCTACCCTACTCGGTGAAATAAACGAAGCGCTTTTGTACGTGGGTATAACATAGTTTTATCTGATGAATCATCACCGGGTCACAAATAACATTTTGAACAATATGGGTGAGTAGCGATGTCCAAAATTACGCTTGATTTTCGTTGACAAAAATCAACAAGCAAACATCTGCGGTTGATTTTGCAAGCTCGGAATATCATGCTAACAAAACTCACAGGCTGCAAATCTCAACAAACTGTGGAGAGATCGAGTTTCATGAACACCCGAACGCAACCGAAACTTCCATAACAATGGCAGCAGCATCTTTGGGTCTGCCGTCAGTGAAGAGTAAAAAGAGATAGCAAACTATACATTCTTTTTAAAAGAAAACGATGTGCAATTTCATCATTTTTGTGTCGAGTCAACGCTCAGCTCGAGCATAGTAGAGAGGTATTTTATTATTTTTATCCTGATGATCAACGAAGGCAAATTTATCAATATCCAGATACTTTGACTATATGTTTAGCATTACTTCTGCGTGAGGTCAACGATTTACATAGTTGAAGATGCTAATTTCAAATAACAGACTGAAGTGGTAATTTTTATACGATAGATGGAGGAGATGAAAGTCTAGTGTTGATAGTTCCGTTAGAGTACGGCAGTGTGAAAATTGCATATACATAGATAGTATATAGCAAGCTAGGACAACTTTTAAGGAAGGTACAAATCGGTTTTTTCATCTCTCTTTACCAAACTCCCCCTTTGGAGAGGGATGGTGAGGGGTGTCCCCCCCCCCCACCATCACTGGCAAAAAGAGATGCACGCCGACCCGCTCAAGTACTAACGATGTGTTTGAAACAGTTCTACCGATTTTTACCACACTTCAGTTGTTATTTGAAGGAAGGCATCCAGTCGAAGGTTTGGAAATTGCAGCTATTGTTTACCCCTACCACGATATGTGCTCCTGTCATCGTCGACTTGACGATCTCGAGGGGACACGGGTGGGGTAGGTGCTACTACTGTACCTTTCAACCAATGTCACTCCATCAATCTCCTCCATCTATCGTATAAAAATTACCACTTTAGTCTGTTATTTGAAATTAGCATCTTCAACTAAATATCTAGATGCCCTTTTGCACTTGCATAGTGGAGAGGTGATCTTTTTTTTTCATCCTGATGATCTACGTTGGCAGATCGATGGAAAAGAAACTCAACAATTTCTAGATGCCCTTTTGCACTTGCATAGTGGAGAGGTGTCCTGTTTTTTTCATCCTGATGATCTACGTTGGCAGATCGATCGAGAAGAAACTCAACAATTTCTAGATGCCCTTTTGCACTTGCATAGTGGAGAGGTGTCCTTTTTTTTTCATCCTGATGATCTACGTTGGCAGATCGATCGAGAAGAAACCCAACAATTTCTAGATGCCCCATTTCACTTGCAAAGTGGAGAGGTGTTCTTTTTTCTTCATCCTGAAGATCCGCGTTGGCAGATCGATCGATGAGAAGTTTTGAAATTTCTAGATGCTCATATTGAATTGCATAGTGGAGAGGTGTTTTATTATTTTCATCTTGATGATCCACGTTGGCAGATCGATCGAGGAGAAGTTTTGAAATTTCTAGATGTCCTCTGTTAACAGCAATTTGCAAAGGACTGCAACAGTACCATGATGAAAACCTTACGATCAAATTCGCATCCAAGCCATAATCAAGTAGAAATGAAACCAGCTCATAATTACCAGCACCCGTCGCAGTGTGTAGAAACGATCCATATTCTTCGAGTGTCTTAGTTTCGTACTTTTTCCTTTGAAGTATCCCTTTTACTACTTTTACAACATTTGCTTCACATGCCCAGAATGCAACTTCAGGTGAATCTTTACAAATATCGCTCAGAGCAATCATTTGCTCTGATAGTTCTGAAAACTGTTCTTCAGTTAGCATAAAGAAAAATCTTCGAACTGTTGCATGATTAAGAAGTGTTTCGTACAAAATTTCTTTGCATTTTTGGATATTATTATATAGATACGTTGCTACGAAAAATTCGGCATAGGATCGGTGTACGAATCTGAGATTGCCTTTGGAAATATTAAATAGAGGAGAATGCTCTTTTCCGTCTTTGATTCGTATTTGGAGGTCGTTGTAAAGTGTTTCATGTTTACCCGATGCGATTATTTCCTTAAGATGAATACTAGAAATCTCGTGCCAAGCTGCTATTTGATGCTCAATAGTAAAGTATTTTAACTGACGGTGCTCTTCCTCATCACTTGACATGCCAATATTTTGGTAAGCATCTTGGTCTCTTTTTTTCTTCCATTTGATTTGAAACGAAAATTCTACAAACTTTTTAAACAATGAGAGAACATTAAATTTTTCTTTCGGGAAAATATCTGGTGCACGTTTATCTGGAACAGTATTTAAATATTGTTGGAAATCATCAGAATATACTTCCGCCAACAATCGAATTATAAGTGGAATACCAAAGAATTTAGAGTCATAGCTATTTATGTCCGAGTTGAATTTTTCGAGCAATTGAGTTGAAAAAATTTCAAATTCCATTGAATCATCGGAAGCTTCCCATGAATTTTTCAAAACCATTATTTGTTCATCGTTTTCAAATGGAATCAATCTGATTGCACTTACTTTAAATTCAGTTTCAAGAATATCCTTGACATGATATCTACCACTTACAATCACTTGAATATTCTTCTGTGACAAAAATTGCCTAAATACGGCGATTGCCTCGTTATGAAAAGTGATCTCATCGAACCCATCAAACAGGATTAGAGTTCGATTTGTGTTGCTTTCTAGATTGTTTTTCAAAATTGTCCTGCTTGATTCCGAAAGAACTGAACGCAGAATTTTGTAAACCTCTTCTAAGTTTTCACAGCCTGATTTGAGCGTTTCCTTTAAGTTATTCAAATATATCAAGAACACATCAATATCGGATTTCTTTTGAACTTCGAAGGCAATGTATTGGAGGATAGTTGTTTTTCCCATACCAGGCTCTCCGATGAAGAGAGAAAATTCGTTTTCTGCTCGGCCGTCTAGTAATCGTTTAATGAATTGATGGTCGCTAATAATATGATTATAATCAATTAATTTTCTTTCTTTGTACGAGCTTCCAATATATTTACGTTGTGATAATTTACGCCTCAGTTCCCTGGTTATTTCTTCGACACAAGAACGTCCCTCCTTATAAGATAAGTAACTCTTTTCTGGCTGATTCTTTGTGTTATCCTTGTAAGTGTTAGAATTGATCCAATTTTTAAAACATTTATTAAATTTAAAGAAAGGTAGTTTTAATTGTGCTTTGCCAAGATCGGCCGGTGGAATCCAATCTCTCATCCATGAGCGAAGATCATTCTCGATGGTTTCAATTAGATCACTTGGTTGGTTTACACAGAAAGTTAGATGCTGAAAGAACTTGCTCACGCTATCTTCAGTTAAATACGTTGGTAGTTGGGTGTTCCTAGATTTACCATTCATAAAATTTTTAATCGTTGGATTTTCTGCTATTAATTTTCCTTTAATATCCTTTAGTAGCTCATTGTACAGCCATTCATGGGTGGAACCAAGCTTGGAGAGCTTTAAATTTGTATCTGAAACTTCCAGGATCTTCTGCAACGGTGTTTTGTAGTTGAGTAGTATTTCCGAAACTTTTCCACTTTTAAAGAGTTCAATGATTGCATCCCTAATGGCATTTAGTTCGGTGTTCATCAACTTCAGTAAATCTTTCATTTTATCCTTTTTTGGTCTGAATCTTTTGTAGCAATCGTCCGATTCAGCAAACTTCATTATTGGGTTCACTTCACTTTGTTCACATACCTCGATGTCCACCAACTCTCTAAGCTGACTATTGCTATCGTCTAATGATTTATTGGTTAGGATAAAAAATCGCATCTTGAACTCTTTGAACTCATCTTTTTGAATAACGTCTAGATACGAGTGTATGTACTTGATAATAGCAAAATCATAATTTTCCACACGCGTCTTTGGAAACAAATTGTTGAACGATATTGGGTTTGAACCATCTGAGCTGTCTTTGTGTTTGGCTTGGAACAACCACACTTCCTTCGGTTCTTCGAAAAATATGACCACATCATCGAATTTTCCAGCGTCCTTCATTTCTGAGGCCAGTTTGAATTCAGATTTCCACAAAGATGCTCGCTCAAACAGCGCAAATGCTAAATCTTCTTCGTATTTGTTGCCATGATTGCCAGTATTGCCACCCCATGCATAGCGGCCACTGTCGACTGTTTCCTTGGTGGGCTCCATTAATTTCCCTGAAAAAAGCACAATCTATTAGTAACATTGATTATTAGCATTTCAAACAAATCTCATGGCTGCTCAACTGGAATTGTTCTTCTAGACATAAATAAGCATTCGACAGTTTTTGGCATGAAAAAAATTAATTTTCCACTCTATATTATTAATAAAATTCAAAATTATTTAACTGACAGAACTCTTTAGGTAAATTATCAAAATTCCAAATCTGAACGACTGTCTGTTAAGCCAGGAGTTTCTCAGGGTTGTATTCTTGGGCCAATATTTTATACTCTTTTTAATTCGCACCTCCCTGATTTGCCTCAAATCTTTGTTTGTTGATGATACAGGCATTTCCGCTGAAGGAAGAAGTCATCGTGTTATTTGCAGCAGACTTCAGAAAAGTTTAGATATTTCCTTTTCTTATTTACAAAAATGGAAGATTTCTCCCGACGCTTTCAAAACTTAACTCATAATATTCCCACATAAGCTGAGAGCTTCCTTTTTGAAACCTAGTAGTAGTCGTATAGTCACTATGAACGGAGTTCCAATTTCTTGGTCAAGTCAAGTGAAATAGTACTTGAACATAAATAATTTTTAAAGATCACATTAAAAAAGGACATTAACCAATATATAAAATGTTTATATCCTCTCTTTAACCAAAAATCCAAATTCTGCCTGAAGAATAAACTTCTAATATTTAAACAGGTTTTTAGTTGGACCAGGAAAAAACACCTCAAAGGATTCAGAATAAAGCTCTGAAGATGATTTTGAAGTTGCCTTCATGGTACAGTACTACCGAGATACCTAGAATTGATTGGCAGTCCTCATTTGCAATGATTATTTCCTTTTACATTTAGATAAGTTTTAGTTTTAGCTTTCAGTTTTAAGATGTCAATTGTTATACTGACATGCAGGTTTAGAAAATCTGTTTTAAATACTGAGCAGGAACAATGTAGACACACTTAGCTATAAATCATAACAGTTAAGGCTGGTAAGTTACTGTAGTAGCTGGAGCAACTAGATGAAAATCGTCGATTAATATATGTTTGGCGGCGATGAGGACGATGATGGCGTGACTCTTGGAGTGTGAGAATGAATATAAGGAATAATTCCACAGGTTTGGTGTAGTTTTAGGGAAAAAAGGTGCTCAGCGATCCAATAAAGGAAATCGTTGAAGTTTCTTTCCCCAAAAAATCTAACAGCATCTTCTAGGATTATCAAAGCAACAAACGAACTATAAATAAGATTAGTTGAGATTCGCATTTATGATCAAACAAACCTAGTTTTCTAGATTGCGTTTTCAAAATGTGTCAAAACATAATTAGGGTAAGTGAACGAGTTTTGACCAAAGACAAATTTCGCGCCAACTCGGCCATTGCACAGTGAGCCAGGAATTCCAATGCATCCAATTGAGTTGACGTCTTCAGTGAAGTTTTCTGGATTAATTAGGAATATAATTTGGTGGATAAAAATTGTTTAAGTTTTGGGCGCAAAGATGGCGCAGCGATACAAACTTTTTTTTTATTTCGTAAGATAGAGGTTTGATTTTTTGGCAAATTTGCAGAACGTAGAATTTTATGAAAAATTGCCCAAAACATAAAAGTTGTACATCTTCAAACATCTGACATATACGAAGTTTTATAAAATTTGCCTGAAATTCACGTTTTAAGTATTATATTTAGAACAATCGTTACTGATCTGGATCTTTACAATATTATAAATAAGTATAAATCAACAAGTCAGGCCTGTTATAATCTTTCAAATCATCATAAATTTCATACAACCTTTTCAAAAACAGAAACTGCGCCCTCCGGTACTAATAGTTTTCCGCCATTCAATGCCATTTATAAATCTTAATCGCAATTGAAATGTAGCTGAAATATAATAAATCAGTTTAAAATCGACTTTCATCTATACGACAATTCAATTATCAATTTGGTAGATTGCTTACGGTACATATTTGAGAGTTTTTCGTCACGGTGATCGAAAGGAAGCCGACATAATTGAACTCAATTTTCTCTGACGACGCTGTCTTCGGGAAACCAGAAGGAACTGACATTTTGTAAAGTTTTATTCGGCGTACTTTTACAGAAGGCGTGCATTTCAATGGCAGTTTTCAAATAATCACTAAACTGCATTCGTTTTACCTTGACGCTGAACACATAACATATGTGGAACTTCATGCAAAACTGCTGACTAAAAGTTGACCCCTTTTTTGTGTTTCCTCAGTGGTATAACTGGTATAGTTGGACATCGATGTGTCAAAATTAAATTTTCGTGATTCGACACTGAGTCTTCATATGGGCCAATGACGGAAACGTAAGCAGGCTTCTTTCGTAAATATCTTGTAATTCAAAGTCAATCCATGTAACCCAGCAATTCTATCAGCTATGAGGACTTTCTCTATACACAAACATCGTGGTGGCTTACTTGAGCGAGTTTTCATTCTCAAGAAATTTGTGGAAAAGTCAGTGTTTACGTTTGTGACATTGGCCCTTATGAAAGAAAATCAGATATTTGGTTGCATGCTCAGTACACGCTATTTGAAAACTACCCAAATTTGAGTAAAATCCACCCTGATCGGTCAAAACTGAATCTATCAAAAAATGAGTTAACAATTGAAGCACGTCGGTGCGTGTTTTCAAGTCGGTCAGAAGTCAATCAAGCGCATTGTTAACCAGTCATACTGTAGATAATCAGTCAGTAGATCTTTGTGTTGGGATTTGAGCAGAAACATTCAATTTCAATTCGTGGAAAAGTCAAGGGGGAGAGGTAGCTCATCGATTCTTCCGGTTCGCCTCCTAGCATCGTGCTATAAGGTACCAGGCGATAACCAGGGTAGTTGATCGATAGCTCGATGACGTCATTTCGTTGGCGTCTGCAATGGGAAATTCTCATAGCAGGCGTTGACGATGGGACGTTGTCGAGTTGTTGAATAGCAACTATCGTGGTAACTCACCGATTACCTGTCGATCTGCCAAATTTGGAAAGACGTCTGCATTGAATTGTCTCATATAATAATATTCCGCCCACTATATCACAAGAAATTGCGAGTAGCTGAGTGGAATGGAGATAAGTTAAGCATTGGGTACAGGACCAAGTCTCCCCTGGATGGTGCCAAAAGATGAGCGCAATAGAATCATCAAGTTGCCATAAGGCACGGAATGAGACTATTGCATGGATGGGTAGTCAAAGTCTTCCATTCGTTAGTCATTTCAGGTGGATTAGAACAGGTTTAGGTTTAGGGTGGGCGTTGGCCAGATTTGGATTTTTCAGATGTAATCCTGGATAGGACCCTGTCATTGAACGTCGCGTGAAAGTGGAACTTAATGAAAGCCTAAGTACTTTTTCGTAATTATTAGTTTTCGGATTTGAAAGATCGTCGGTTACAGTGGCCTGCTTACTGAGCAGAAAAACGCGGTCCCAGGTCCTTGCATATCAAAGAGATTTATGGTAAAATCGCTTGTGTATCGTGTATTTTGCGAAACTCGTTGTTGTCGTTGGTTCCGGGTTTGAATGGATACAAAAATTTGAGCAGCGGTATTATGTGATGTGAGGGGCTCGGTGGCCTTAGAGCAACCGTTTTAGCTTACTGAGCAGAACATTATGAGTCTAGTCTCAGGCCCATCCACATTCAAGATTCGTCAATCGTTTTATTTGTTAATATGACTACATGGTAATAACAGCAACTCGGTGATTAAAAAGGTGCTCGTCTGCCTTGTGGCAAACGTTTTTGCTTACTGAGCAGAAGACCGTGGGTTTAGTCCCAAGCTCCTTCGCGTTATATGATCGTTAGGACATCAATTCAGCTTATCGTTTACCAAAACGAACCCTGCTGCAAACCCAACCCTCTTATCCAACATCCCAGTGATTCCTCGTAGAAGTGCAGAGGTGTTCTCGGCTTCCATTAAAGCGAGTGTCATGTCAACACAATTCTAGTGCTAGATGCTAGTCCCAAGCATTGTCTATTGGTTCTCTATGTAATTACAGCTGATCTGGCAATAACAGAGTAGCAAACGTGGGCGGTCAATCAAGCTCAAGCTAAAAAAATTCGTGGAAAAGTCAGTGTTTACGTTTGTGACATTGGCCCTTATGAAAGAAAATCAGATATTTGGTTGCATGCTCAGTACACGCTATTTGAAAACTACCCAAATTTGAGTAAAATCCACCCTGATCGGTCAAAACTGAATCTATCAAAAAATGGGTAAACTATGTTGGGATGACAGGTTAACAATTGAACAACGTCGGAAGGATCCATGCCAATGTTGCTCAAGTGTCAGTTTGTTTACACATTTTTGAGTAGGTTCAGTTGTGAGCGATCTGAGAGGATTCTACCCAAAATGGAGTAGTTTTGAAATAACGTGTAAGTATTGACATTGACGGTGGCTTTCTAGCTCTTTACTCCTATGGTAAAATCCCGAAGTCTAGCGGATGTTGTCTTATCTCTTCACTCCACCATGGTGCCAGCGAGCCACCGTCTCTTCATGCAAAGATTAACAGGATCTTATGAGATTTTTCACTGGAGTAAAAGGGTAAGGTAATGTTTAACATGTTTCTCGCACAGACTGACGTTTGCTTATAGGATTTTAACATAGGAGTAAAGAGTTACAGAGTGACCGAAAAGGCTAATTGTTAAGGTAATGCGGCCATTCTTTTTTTGGCTAGCTTTGGGCACAGGGATTTATTAACGCGTGTTTTCAAGTCGGTCAGAAGTCAATCAAGCGCATTGTTAACCAGTCATACTGTAGATAATCAGTCAGTAGATCTTTGTGTTGGGATTTGAGCAGAAACATTCAATTTGCGCTATTGAGAAACATAGAAAGGCTTAAAACCTTGAGTATTACAGGTATCGATAAGCGCTTTCATTTGTCATCCTTCTTGCAAAATTCTTGTGAATGGAAAGATGCAAGGTTAGCTCAAACAACATCAAGAGATTTATGTCTGTTTTACGTATTAATTCCAAGAAGAAGAAGAAGTTCCACTACAGCTATCAAATGAACAAGGCTTCAAAGAATCA